GTTCCGGCTCGGGCGGGCCACCTGGCTCCCCGCAGCGCCACAGACGCCGGACGCGGACGCCCGGCTTTACTTAGTGCGCCTCTCGCTTCCGCCTCTGCTTCGCACCGCTGTGGCGGCCGCCCAAAGGCATGGCCCCGTGGCTCCCGCTGGCCATGCCCCCTCAGTCTGTCGCCATCTTCCGCTGTGCGGAGAACACCTTGAGAGCCCGTGTGCGAGTGTGTTTGGGGGGGAGCAGGGCGGAGAAAGAGGCACCGGGAGGAGGAGGGAACGGGACTGGGGCCCCGACTGCGCCTGCGCCTCAGGACTCCCCCCTCCCCAACCCCAGCCCCCGCCGGCCGCAGCCTGTGCTGTTTGGGGATGTTTCCAGTCCACCCCCAACTCCATTCACTTCAGCGCCTCCGTTCATCCGACCGCTCCCCGCGTGCACACGCCACACGCTGAGTCCCAGGCCTGGCGCTCCCCTTCCCCCCACCAAGCCGGCGCCCGCCTCCCTCCCCAGGACCGCCCCTCGCTCCCCCCCGAGGGCTAGGGGACTTCTGAGGGTAATTCTAAGAAGCAAGAGGCGTCTCCTTAGGTTCTTGCCACCTCTCAGGGTAGCGTTGCCCTCATCCTTATGACTAGGGGACACTGAAGCCGGTTGGGGATCGGACCAGTCCGGAGTCCCTAACTCCGCTGACGCCCTCACTGTCCTGCCTGAGGCCAAGGCTGCCCTGGTGCTGAAGGACAGCTCCCAGTTTAGCCGCAGAAGAGTACTGAGCTAGGAATGCGTCCTGAAGGAGGCAAGGCAGTGCACGGAGACCGGTGGTAGTGGTGGGGTGTCATTTTTTTTTTTTTTTTTTTTTTGCCCTTAGGAAGATTTCCAGCAGCCTCCCCCAAAACCCCGTCCTAGCTTCCTGGCTCCCCCTACAGGATGCTGAGAATAGCTGAGCGCCAGAGTTAGGGAAGCTGCGCCGGGTGGAACCATGTGCTCCCGGCTCATAGAGTCACATGGCTCTAGGAACTCGGACATACAAATGTCCTGCCGCGCTACTAACCTTGTTTGGACTCTACAAAAATCTCAGCTCTCCTGTGGTCTACTTCCTTTCTTCATTCCCTTTCCTCTGTAACTCTCTGCTTGTAGTTTTAAAGGGATCATTGCAACAAAGATTTGTTACTAATCATAACAATGGAGAAAAGAGCCTTTACAGAGCAGCATACAACTTGCTAGATACTACACTTGGCACTTTAACTTGCTTTATTCTTCTGATCGTCACAATCTTATGAGATGGATGTTAGCGTTGTCTTCATTTGCATACGAGGAAGCTGAAGGTTAGTGTCCTTAAACCACATAAGATAACCAGTGCATCACACACAGAAACCCAGGGAGTCTGGCCCTAGACCTCTCTACAGCTCCAGAAAGGCCATAGAAAGATGAAGGAGTAGAAGACACAGACCTGTCTTAAAGGAAATGACAGTCGTCCAAATGAGGAAATGAGACTTACATGTTGGCTAGTGGAATTCATGGATAGAGTTGGATTCAAGTAATACTTCTAAAACTGACCATGCTTTGTCCTCATCTTGGCAATGTGAGGGGATGCCAAGGGTTTAAATGAGATGGGTGAGAACTGTTAGCACTACTCAGAGGTAAACTTCAAAGCATGCTTGGAATTCTGAGTTTGGGTTGGGGCGTGGAGCTAGTTCCTAAAGAAGTAGCAGAATTGGGTGGGTGAATGAGAAGGACATTCCAGATAAAAGAATGAGAAAGAAAATTTTCAGGGATTGAAAGCACCATGTATGTGTGTAAGTGTAATAATTTAGACTTTAGAGGCAAAGTAAAGGAAGATATGGCAAAAGAAAAAAAAATGTTGGACATTCAGGAGACCTATTCATTCGATATATTCAAGCAGTCACTGGTCCTACTTAGGATGCTGTAATTGTTCAGACACACACAGCCTTGCTATGGAAGTGCTTACAATTGAATTGGGGAAGTAGACATGTTAAAGAAGGGATTGTAGCCAATTAGAAAAGAATGGCATCAATGCCAGGTCTCCCTTCCATAGAGAGATGGACTAGTTAACTCTGAAAGCTTTCCTCAGAGGCAATTTTGACATAGCCAGGTCAGAGAATGTGAATTAAATTCCATGTGCTATATTAGGTAACAGTGATATAGAGGTGAGGATAATGTGTGTCTTAGGATGGAAAGAGGTTAGCTGAAGTGGGTTTTGGCTAACCAGAAAGTAGAGGAAGTGATTATGAAGGGTATCCCAGAAGAAGGGAAGTCATGTATAAGGGTGTAGAAGCAAAGACAGGGAAGGCAAGTTTAGAAACCTACAAAGCAGTTTGCTGTGGCTAGGTGTAAAGTGGGAACACTGCCAAAATGGAAGTTGAGCATTTTGCAGGAACCTAATCATGAGAGCCTTGGAATTTATCCTAACCAAGGCTACATGAAGCCACAGAAGATGTCGGAAAGTTTTTGAGAGGAAATAGCATGACCAGATTTGTGTTTTCAAAGGATTGATTTGGCTGAGGCCTGGAGACTGCATTGGAGGGGGCACACCCAGAGGCCGGGAGATAGTTCGGAGACTGTTTAGGAGTCCAAGTGAGAGGCATCGAGGGCGGGATAAAGGCAGCATCACCTGGGGGAGGGGAGAAGAAACGCATGTGCGAGGAGAATGAAAGAGGTAGAACTGAAAGGACCTAGGATTGGCCTAGACGTGAGGGATGGAGACAAGTTCTGTGAAGAAGGGTGCAACTAACGAGCTTCATTAGTGACACCAGCAGACCTGCTTCTGCCCACCTAGGAACTGTCTTTGGGGAGCCATTCTTTGTTTAGTCTTTGGAGGAGTCAGTGTTGTGTTTACCAAAGAAGGCTAATGGCTACAGTTGCCTAGTTTAGAGCTGACTGGCAGGCCCATGGTGATTGACACCCTCTACTGCTAATTGAAAGAGTAGCCTGCCTAGCCTAGGCCATCATCTCTGGAGCTTTCTGTGAGAAGTCACTCTGGCAAGACTCCCTCTCTCTGGGAACACACAAGGAGAACAGTGTCTCACAGAGGTCCATTTTTCATAGGAGCACAATATCACAATGGCGTACGCACACAGCACCTGGCACACACAAACGAGAAGTGGTAGCATGCTAACAGTCAGAGGAGGATCTCATTCTCTCACGCTAGATTACAGGGGAAAGTGGAATGGGGGTGGGGAAATCATTGGCCTCTGCTGGAGCAAAGAAGCCCGGGTGAGAAGAGGGACTGGAGCACACCAAATCCTTGCAACTGATAAGCTCCAGCCAGCCTTCTTTCCTAGCTCTTGCTCTCTATCTGCACCCCAAATAAAGGCCAGAGGCTGAAGGGTGGCCATGCCTGAGGGGACACACACTACCTAGAAAGAACACTCTCAAAGTGGACACGGGAAAAGACAACTTGGAGTAGAAGGAGGAGGGAAAGGTTTCCACGGTGAGATGTTTACAATAGGAAGAAGACAAAGTGGGAACTGTTTAAAGAGACCAGTGTCCATACACTGGAGCCTGGCTGTTAAAGCCAGATCTTTTAAAAGTCCTGGGCAGAAGCAGGGAAGATGAGCATGCAAGGAAGGGCGGATCTAAGGAGAGGGTTAGGATGGCTAAAGAACAGCTTGAGTCAAAGCTTGTCAGGCTCTGCCTGTATCACATTGGGGGGCACCTTCTCCTTCCATGATCTGAGGAATTTTTCTTTGGTCTACACCCCACCCCTATACTAAGATGAGAAGGCTTAAAGTAAACACAGCATGCCCTAACTCCCAACCTGGAATAGAGTACCAGTTTGTCTTTTTGCTGCTGGTCTGAGTTTCGTCTCAAGTTTCCTGATCCTCTGCCTCATTCCCCATTTCTTCTGACTCCTAGCCTTCAGTCTCACATCCTATACTCAAGTCCCAGCTTCACACTTAGCCCCTAGCAAGGCCCAGGCCTGGTAATGTTCTTTTACCCTGCCATCTAGGGAGGAAGAACTGAGCCTGAACCTGGATCTTAACTCCATTGCAGACCCCTCCTGGAGAGACCAATTGCCTGTATATATATTTCTAAGTAGTC